TATTCTATTTTATGTTTTACAACTGTCTCTCTTAGCTGTATTCTTTTTGTGTGTTTTCCAACCGTGTCCGCTAGTTGTAATTTTTTAAATATTTTATAAACCTCTACCCTACCTTTGTTTTATTTTTTAATTTTCCAACCGTCTCACTCATAGCTGTATAATATTTCCTGTTTTACAACCATCTCCCTTAGCTATAATTTTTTTTATACTTTCGAAACGTCAACGTGAGTTGTTTTTTATTTACAATTTTACAAACGTCTCCCTGAACTGTTATATATTTTATATTTTCCAACTGTCTCAACCAGCTGTGTTATATTTTCTATTTTACAACCACCTCCCTTAGCTGTATTATTTTTTTAATTTTCCAACCCTCTCCCCTAGCTGTATTTTATTTTTTATTTTACCACCGTCTCCTTTAGAGCTGTATAATATTTCCTGTTTTATAACCGTCTCCACTAGCTGTAATTTATTTTATATTTTCGAAACGTCAACACAAGCTGTATTTTATTTCCAATTTTACAAACGTCTATCCAAACTGTTATTGCATATTTTCCAACCATCTTCAATACCTGTATTTTATTTTCTATTTTAAAAAAGTTTCCAATACCTGTATTATATTTTTAGTTTTCCAACCGTCTCCACTAGTTGTAGGCCTATTTTATTTTATTTTTTCTAACGGTCTCCACTGGCTGTATTTTATTTTATTTACAACCGTCTCCCTAATTTGTAATTTATTTTGTTTTCCAACCGTCTTCACTTGCTGTATTTTATTTAAAACATTCCAGTCGTCTCCACTAGCTGTAGTTTATTTTTTATTTTTCAAACTTCTACACGATCTGTATTTTCTTTTCTTTTTCAGACCGTCTCCAGTAGCTGTAATTTATTTCATATTTTTTCCAAAAGCCTAACCTATCTGTATTTACATTTTCCAACTGTCTCCCCAGTGTGAATTTTATTTTCTAAATTAAAACGGGTTTCCAATTATAATTGTATTTTATTTTATATTTTACAACCGTCTCCCTTAGCTGTATTATATTTTCAGTTTTCCAACCGTCTCCACAAGCTGTACTTTATTTATTATATTCCAACCGTCAATACTAGCTGTATTTTTTTTTTATTTTAAAAGTTTACAATACCTGTGTTGTATTTTGTATTTTCCGACCATCTCCACTATCTGTAATATTTTTTCCCTTAGCTGTGTTATATTTTCTTTTTTCCAAACGTCTTCATTAGCTGTATTTTATTTTCTATTTTAAAACCGTTTGGAACACCTGTATTCTATTTTTTTATTTTCAATCCGTCTCTACAGCTCTATGATAGAACAGAATAATAATAATAACAAATAGCATTTGTGTAGCTCGACAGCAAGCTCTATGCGCTTTAAACATAGCATATATATAATATTATTACCGCAGCAGACCCTACAAAACTCAGAAACATTCTCAGCTTCCCGGGAATCATACAGTTCAAATACTTCAAGCAGCCGTTTCAGCGCTCATTTTTTAAACTTGTGTCGACTGCTTGTTATTTCCTTTTACACTTTACAACCGCCTCCACTAGCTGTAATTTATTTTATTTCTAAACGTTTACTCTACCTGTGTTTTATTTTTTATTTTCCAACCGTGTCCACTAGCTGTAATTTACTTTATATTTTCAATACGTCAACCCTATTTGTATTTTATATTCTATTTTACAACCGTCTCTTTTACTACCTGTATTTTGCTTTTTCTTATCCCCTTCTCATCCAAAGTTCCGGTTGACCGTCTTTATAGCCGCCTCTTACCTGGCTACAAATATATTAACACCCAAAGCAGCGATTTGTTTAGATCCACAGAAAAATATAAATTAATTATAGACCAACACTCTTCTTGAGATGAAAGAAAAAAAAAACCTCTGAGAAAACCTGCGAGCTACAGTTGTCCCGTCATACAATCACACACTGGGGAGGTGAACGTTGCACGTGACAGAGCAAACAAGTGCAGCTTTCCCTCCAACCCCAACACATAGGCTAGTCGCCATCTGTATCAAACACCTTGATTGAAGAACATCTGGAACTATTGTCCCAATGGAACAGTTTTCCACAATTAGTAAATGGAGTGCTCCAAAGAGTAATAACATAGCAGACCTGCCGCTCGATGAAATCTAAAAATCTGGATCTCCGGGAGAAAAAATCGGGATCACCGACAAATCACCAAGGTGACTGCCAAGCTGACTTAAAACTTTTCCTGAGCTGTCCATACCATGTTATTGTATTGTTATATCTGTATAATATGCCCCCTGGGAGTCTCTCTCTCTCTCTCTCTCTCTCTCTCTCTCTCTCTCTCTCTCGTGTGTGTGTGTTAAAAAAAATCATGTTTTCTTTTTAAATCCTGAAGTTTCAGGTCAAGCACTCCTAGTCCAAGTGTCTAACAGACCCCCCCCCCCCCCCCCCACCTACCAACAAGTCCTGGAAGACGCTTCCACCAGTGTGCATAAACTTACGTTGACCCCATCAACGGACGGTCCCCGACACACGCGCGCAACTCGCACGCCGCAGTCATGTCACGTGGTGAGAACGAGCAATTGAAACAGTTTCACCAAAGATACTCCACTATATCTTTGGTTTCTCTGACGGGTTTTGATGACGGGCCCGACCGGGGATACGGGAACTATTTATTTGTGGATGCCTTGGGCACGACTACCTTCCAGAACTCGGACAAAGCTTGTTTGGAAAGTAGCAGCTGAACTCTGAATAATATTGACCACTTGATATTCGCAATAGAAACAGTTATCAGGCTATTCGTTCATGGTTATCAGGCTATTCGTTCTTGGTTATCAGGCTATTCGTTCATGGTTATCAGGCTATTCGTTCATGGTTATCAGGCTATTCGTCCATGGTTATCAGGCTATTCGTTCATGGTTATCAGGCTATTCGTTCATGGTTATCAGGCTATTCGTTCTTGGTTATCAGGCTATTCGTTCATGGTTATCAGGCTATTCGTTCATGGTTATCAGGCTATTCGTTCATGGTTATCAGGCTATTCGTTCTTGGTTATCAGGCTATTCGTTCTTGGTTATCAGGCTATTCGTTCATGGTTATCAGGCTATTCGTTCTTGGTTATCAGGCTATTCGTTCTTGGTTATCAGGCTATTTGTTCATGGTTATCAGGCCATCATCGGAGAATTCTGAGTGAAAACAAAAGCGAAAGTGGATCTTGAGAATGTCCCAAGTCGGACAAATCGATACATGTGTACAACTTCTATAAGTTTAGGCTGTCCCTGCGCTGTTATGCAAAAAAAAAAAATGTCTGAAATTTTGCAAAATGAACCCAAAAATCTGAAATTATGAGATTCTGTTAATTTTAAAAAAAAAATGATTTAGGAAAATAATCAGAAATTATGCAAAAAATTATCAAATTTTGCTAAATTATGCGGGGTGCAGAAAACCCCGGGGACAGATTAGATCTAGACCTATAGTTGAAATAACAAGAGTTGACAAAGATCCAACACAACTTGGAGCAAGTTCACAACTAACTCCGGCATGGATATTTCACAAAATAGAGCACCGAGTTTCTCCTACTTACAAAAACTAAGTTCACCGGGCGCTCCCAACACTGTGCGGTGCCGGTCCCAACACTGTGCGGTGCCGGTCCCAACACTGTGCGGTGCCGGTCCCAACACTGTGCGGTGCCGGTCCCAACACTACTATGCGGTGCCGGTCCCAACACTGTGCGGTGCCGGTCCCAACACTGTGCGGTGCCGCTCCCAACACTGTGCGGTGCCGGTCCCAACACTGTGCGGTGCCGGTCAAATGACGTCACATGCCACGTCTCTATACACAGCGCGCTGGTGAGGTGGGGTGGGGGGGGGGGGGGGGTAAAGAGGATTGGGCCCAATGAAGTATGAAGGAATGGTGGCGGTGAACAACAGAAGTTGCTTCAGTACGGGGCACGTCCCAAAAACAGACCTTGTTACTTTCACTCCTGCACACAGATGCACTGCTTCGTGGGGCAAACTGCAGTACTGTTTGCTGCAGACCACAAATTTATAAAGCCACCAAAACTGTCGCAAATCAATCATTTTCAAGAAAATGTCAAACCTAACAGTAAAATATCAAATTATGAGTTAAAAAGTTAAAACAAGGGCACCTAGATTTTTTCTCCCCTTCTCTTTTAACCGTTTTTCTCCCCTTCTCTTTTAGCCGTTTTTCTCCCCTTCTCTCCAGCGTTTTCCGCAGTTTGTAGGCCACGACCCAGATATTAAAGTAGATAATCTCGCCAACCCGTCGACACGCCCTGAAAAATAACACTCATGCATTCTTGTGAGCTCTTCAGTTTCTTATGTTAATTTTAATTTTAAATTTTAGTGAGGAAAAGAATAAATTGGAAGTGAATTAAAAAGTATATATATATATTTTATTTTTTTTTAAATATATAAAGGCCTATATAGTAAATTAAACGTATTTGGTGAACTTTGAGTTTGATACTTGGCATTGTATCATTCTTGTGAGCTCTTCAGTTTCATGTTAATTTTAATTTTCATATTTTTACACTTTTGATAATATAATGTGAATGTTCTTTGAAGTGAGTAAAAGATCTCTATGGAAGTGTATTTTAAAAAAAATTATTTTAAAAATATAAAATATTAACGCAATCTTCAGATCGCCGCGCAATTATACGATCGTTAAAACACGCAGATTGCACGGAACATAATAATGTGCTACATAATTGAAAATATTATAATTGTGTCTACTGACTGCCACATTCCCCATCGGTAGATGACGGAACTGAGTTTACGGAGGGAAATTGGACACTTTTCCAAGGTAGACAATAGTAATACAATGTCTATGGGAGAGAAAGGAACTGAACTTCCAAATGTTGTATTGCAGCCCAAAGCCTTACCCCTGCACAGAGTGTGGGCAGAAATGACAAAACCTCCAGTGAGCTGATTGTCCGTTGTCTCAAGACAGGACTTTGTCCAACAACCCCCCCCCCCAAAACAAACACTACCAAAAATGAAACTTCAAAGATTCAAAAGCATTTATTTGATCCAAACAGGAGGCAGCTATGAATATATACACACACAAACACACGCACGCATGCACGCAAGCAGACACACGTCTAGCATCTTTTAACTCGAGCTGCTGTCCATTCAAAGTACACTCACGACTCACATACTGACACCCATGATACAAACCTTCAGAGTACATTCAAATACTGAAATTCTAACAACAGGCAAACCTTCAGCGTACACTCATATACTTTTTTGTTTTAGTTTTAGCAGTGATTTTACGGCACTAGCAACTGCATTCGGTCATAGGAGCGCCAACCTCACACACAGAAACTACAAACGACACAAACATTCCGCGTACACTCACACACAGAAACTACAAACAACACGCAAACTTCGGCGCCACCTCAATCCGCCGACCTCTTGTGCCTCTTGTTGTTGTAGAGGCGGGTGAGGTAGCGGATCCTCTTGTCCACGCGGTTCCACTCCGAGGGGTAGAAGGTCTTGAGTCGCGGCCCCTCCCACTCCATCTTCCTCGTCAGACGCTCCAGTTCGTTCCCCTTGAAGGCAATCAGCCACTTGGGCCCGGTCAGCAAGTCCGCGGGATGCACGTCTCCGTCTCCCAAGATGTCTACCAAGGGGGGAAATTAAAAAAAATTTTTTTAAAATATTTACGAATATACGAAAACGAATAGAGGTGGTACTTGAGAGTATACAAAGAAAAGAAGGAGAGATAGAGAAAACAGATGTTTGATCAATGACAGGAAAGAAGGAGCGAACCCCACCAAAACACCAACCAACCACCCATGACAAGACAAAAAAATGGAACAACCAAAGCCCTGGGTCTGGCAGAGTGCTGCAGTTACCGATGTAATCGTTTCAAAACATTTACTGATGTAATCGTTTCAAAACATTTACTGATGTAATCGTTTCAAAACATTTACTGATGTAATCGTTTCAAAACATTTACTGATGTAGTTGTTTCAAAACATTTACTGATGTAATCGTTTCAAAACATTAACTGATGTAATCGTTTCAAAACATTAACTGATGTAATCGTTTCAAAACATTTACTGATATGATGTAATCGTTTCAAAACATTTACTGATGTAGTTGTTTCAAAACATTTACTGATGTAGGTAGTTGTTTCAAAACATTTACTGATGTAGTTGTTTCAAAAGTTACCGATGTAGTTGTGTCAAAAAAATTACCGATGTAGTCGTTTTGTCCAAAGAGAGCCCTGTCCTTGGTCCAGCGGTTCTTGGCCTTGTATGGGTCCAGAGACCTCACGGGCCGCTCGTTGCGAGGGAGAACACCTGAGGAGGAGAAGAACGGGAGGATTTCCGAGGTTTAGTTAAACAAGACATATATATATGTGAAGCGTGCTGACAAAATGAGTTACTTCTCGAATTTGAGCCCTATGGAAATAGATACACCACGCTTATAGGTGAAGTTTTTACAAATTATAAGTATGAAATAATATAAGGCATGTTATATTTTTAAAAATATGGCATCAATAGGAAAATCTACAAACTTGACCCTGGTGTCGATTTTTGGCCAACGAGAAAAACACCCGAGAAGAGGAAGTGGACGTCTGGCTGAAGTTTTAAAAGAATTGTGATTTAAGCCGCCAGGATCTCACTACTAGAGAAAACCCAGGTTTTTTTGGGGTAAACTTGGCAGGTCAGATACACAGCTCAAACATATTACATACGGTGAAATAAGACAATCACTGTACAAACGGCCACCTGTATAAGACAATCACCTGTACATGACCACCTGTATAAGACAATCACCTGTACAAACGGCCA